ATATGACTCGCGATAATTGACAGGACGGCCCCCATCAGTGCCCAAATCTCTTTTGTGTACGACGATAGCAGTACAAAGCCTGCTAATGTCTTTTAAGGACTTAGTCATTTAAACGGACTAAATAATGAGCGACTACCCTTCCTCGGCTCGCAACCAATTTGCGGGCTTAAAACCTTAGGGAGGATTCGCTGATTTAATATGTGACTAAATTATAGGATACACAACAGTGGGAGAGTATCGGGATTGTTTATCTAATGTACCTAAGCTGTTGCATTTACCTATTTTATAATAGATACCAGATATCAGAAACTTAAAAGATAACATAAGAAAACTCACTAAAGAGCTTTAAGCTCTATGCTATATAAGTTAAATAGGGTAATAAAACTCATAGTGTTCATTTTAACCAATCGCAAAAAAATACAACACTGAAATCAGTAGGTACCTTTTCGTTATATTCTTCAAAGAATTTGATTTGAGCATTATGTTGTTTTACGTAGTTTCTGGAAGTCTTAAGGTTATCTCAGGAGAAAGAATTATAAGAATATTGCCAGTTATAACTTTTACTCATATCAAAGTGCACCGCGAACCCAACCGACTTCCTGGAAACATTGATAATACGACCCAATGATGCACAACATGATAAAATTTATCATTTTCTGATGCTCTCCAACTATGAACTCAACAAACAAAGAAATTGGAATGAAACAAAGCAAATATGGAGTGCAGAGTATTAGGGTAGCAACAATGAACGAAAAAAGTCTACAAACAGCAACGTAGTACTTGGTGAATATTACTTTACATTCTGCTATTAACGTAAACATAAAAAAAAATGTTAAAAATGACATTTAATGTATTTCGGACTCATTTTAGTCGTGACTATGAGTGGTGGTGGGGTCCAGCAGATCAAGCGCCGCAAGTGGAACTGGATTGGCCACACTCTCCGAAGGGATCCCGATCACATCCCCAAGCAGGCTCTGGATTGGAACCCCCAAGGAAAACGCAAACGTGGTCGCCCCAAGCAAACTTGGCGGCGCACTGTGGCAGACGAGGCGAAGAAGATCGGCAAGACTTGGAGCGAGATCAAACACATAGCTCAAGACCGAACGCGATGGAGGACTGTTGTGGATGCCCTCTGCCCCATCTAGGGGACATAGGACCATAAGTCAAGTCATGAGTGGTGGGAGATAATACATTTTGATGACTGATTTCATCATCCATCCACATACCGACCATTATTTTATGATTATTTTAATACATATACCTAATATGCATTTTACAGTAGGATTGTAATTCGATTTTCGGCCGTTTGGTATAGTTGTTCGTAACGCACTACTATGACGAGGTCGTTATTTTTTTTTTTAGATCTGCACCTCATTTTCATCAAGACAGAAATTGAATTGTTCTCACACAAACTTTTTGTTAGTAATACAAACAATTTAAACCAAAATACCTTCTATGCCTTTTCCGTTGAGTGAAATAAAACGCGGGAGACGCGAGTCGATCGTCGATATTATTGACAGCGGATAATACGCGTTGAAAGAAATAAAATATAAGGGCGGGCAATCTCGGACTTTCCTCTCTAACGATGCTTAGGGTTCGTACTATTTTTACGGTTATTAATGGAATATTTCTCGCAAAAAATAACTCCCAAAATACTTTTGAAAAGGTGCATGTCAGAATCGACACAAAGCGCAAAGTTGTTTACAATAATTATATTTCAATACAGTCGCAACATCAATGGTTTTATGACATAAAAAATATAATTATAGTTATTATTATACCAATTTCAATATTCATAAAGTATTATATATACTCTACTACCGTTTTAAATAGATCAGTAGACTGTAGAATAGAATCTACAGTCTACAGTGTAGATATTGTAGGAAGCCGGTTTAGATTTGACAAATCAGTTTACGTACAAAATAAAGTTTTTTTTTTGAAAGACAAGGCAGGTATTTGACCGCAATCGCACCTCGTGCTAAAGATGCAGTTTAGGATGGTACATACGTATATGCCCTGTAAGTGCCTATTCACTCTCGCATGATTTAAAAATTATCAACATCACCTTTCATGTTCTGAATAAAACCGAAAAGAAAATTGTTTTCATCAATAAACCTAAACAATAAATTAACTATCCCATAAATCAGTACAATGAAATTATTTGCGCCATTAAAATGTATAAATCTGATTCCAAAAAACGGTTATAACCTCGTTAATGGTGCGGGGTCTATGTAATGCGATTATGCAGCCCTGGCGAATGCGCCGCGCTGATAACAAACAGACATCATCCGGATTTGTGTCGTCATGCGCACGGCCCGCCTCGCTGGGATACCAGTGAGCATGGAAAATATCTACATATTACGATTCTCCGTCTTTTAACGTTGTAACAGTGTAGGTAGAGCAAAAATGAAGGCTCTTTAAAAGCAAGATTTGGACGATTTCTAAGTACCTTTTAGTACTATCACAGGTACTACTCAATAAGGGTTTCTTTAGGCTGGGTTGCTGCACCATCTTACGTTAACTTTAACAAATGTCAAAAGTCTGTCAAACTGCATAAAAAAAACACCGGTTGTCGTTAAAATTACGGTTAAAGTTAGGTGTTACAACTCAGTGTAACAAATAAAAAAAATCTTGATTTTAAATTTAGTGGATTGATCATACAACCGGACTACACAACCGTAGCTCTGAGTACAGACGTTTGACAGGATTTAATACAATTGATGGCTTGACGTGCCCTATGAAGAATTGTCTTTGTCCTCTACCGCATCAGTTATAATAAGTATAGAGGTCTGAGGTCGCATCTTTGGTTCCGACTTCAAGAGTACTGCTGATTACTACAGCATTACTGATTTGTATTGATATAGCTTTGAGATAAATAAGACAATCGGGTTTCTTCAATTCTTCACGAAAATGGACACTAACTAACACACAGAATTTTTCGATTTGTGTGTCAATGCGCCGCACTGATAACAAACACATTATCCAGATTTGTGTCGTCGTGCGCACGGCCCGCTTTGCTGGGATACGAGTGAGCATTGTGATCAGGGAATTCTATGGAAAATATCTATGGAAGTATTATATTTCTCTGTCTTTTAACGTTGTAGATGTCGTGCCCTACGTGCCCAAACAACTGCAAGCAGAGTGCTACTGACAACGCCACTCTTGTAGCGGAGTTTTGGGCTGATACCGTATAGGTTTTTTGTCGACATGATAAGAAGAAGAACGTTGTAGCACTGCACTGTAGGTAGGTAAGGCAAAATTTTAAAGACTCTTTGAAAGCAAGATTTGACAATATCTAGAAGTAAAACAATAAAGAAATCCTCGATTTTATCAAGTGGATGGATCATAACTGAAACCATGGCTCTGATTCTGAGTAAAGACGTTTGAATTTAATCAAATTGATGGCTTGACGTGCCCTGCGAAGAATTGTCTTTGTCCTCTACCGCATCAGTTGTAGGTAATAACTGANATAACTGTGGTCGCATCTTTGGTTCAGACTTCAAAAGTAGCGGCATTACTGATTTAGGTAAATTGATAACTTCGTTAAGTTACTCGACTCAGTTACTAACTCCCTTAAGATACTGGATAAGACAGTGGTTTCTTAAAGCCTTTAATTCTTAACCAAATAATTTTTCGATTGGTGTGTCAATGAATAACCAAAGTTGAGGCGAGAACCTTTACTCAATTGGCAAAGTATAATTTTGATGTAAACCGAACTATTAAACATTCCCACCCACTTGTAATCGCCTTTATAACTCGTGTGTCCCTAAACATAACTCGTAAGTCTTGTATAGTTTACTATTTCAATTGGAAATTAAGGCTTAAAGGCTGCACACCTTCCCCGTAGAAAATGAAAATGATTTATTTGCAGAATGTGGTACATCATATTTGATGTTACATAATATGATAGTACAGAACAGATTCACCAGATTTTCATAACGACCGGCCTTGCGCTGTCCGCATCTAGGTGCTTCCCGCGACCTCCACCAAATCGTCAATATCCATTAAATTTACTACAAGGTGGGTACTATTACACTGTACTAAAGTAAAAACCCAAAGCACAACTACATGTAGTACGTGCCGTCGTGTATTGTTCACGTTAGGTTACCGCAACACCATTCCGGGACGTTAAATTTGAGCTCGGGGAAAATAAAATTTTTAAGGGATGGGCTATAAAATTTTTCAACCGTAAACTAAAATTCTGGATCCGCGGACAGGATGTTGCTAGATTGTGACTTTCTGTTATATTCGGTTTATCCTGGGAAATGTTGTACTTGGCAAGCTTTTAGTGACAAAAATATAAAATTTCATCAAATTATCTCCGTATATATAAGTATAATAGTAAGTATTTCAATAGCTTTGTGCATAAATATCATAAAGACATTTTCATGTGTTTTACAGTTAACAAGTTATGACCATTATTATTATGTTTGATCAGAATTCGTCATTTCTCCGTATTCTACGTGATGAGTCACAATACATAATACGATAATAACTCTTTTCCCCAAATATGTAATCAGGAAATAGAAGGTTAAATGTCAAAAACTAATATAAACATTAATCATTATGACACGTATTACGTAAAAAGACGTTAGGTGTAGAATTTTCAAAACAAATGTAGGATTTTAAAAAACTTCAAAACATATAACATCGACCTACTTACACAATAAATACATTTGTGGATAAAAAAATGTTTTTCTCAAGTAGAGGCTTGACTTGAGTAACATAATAAATATTTTATGTTCTATCACAAATCACGATTAAAATTATATCAATTAAGACAAATTCGGAACTGATGAATGTAAAATCGTTAGTTACTCCTGAAACTGTAACTTATGCCCTATCTTCAGTTCTTGGTTCTCAATTACCGGACGTAATCATATCAGGCGTTACTTTGCGGAAATCCATAATCAGATCTTAAAACGATAAAATTACTTAGCTTAAGATTTCCGCTTAGTGACCACAAAACCAGAAATATAAAAGAAATACGATACACTTACTTGAAAACAAGGGGTTTGTTGGCGAACAGGCCGGAGGCCTTGTCTTTAGCGGCTTGGAGCCCCTGCATGGTGTTGCAGTCTCCCTCATCAATTGGCTCTGCCGGCTCGCTAACACCTGTATAAGACATATTCAGGAGTTTAGGCCAGCAGTAAAAAGATTGAAGTTCACACAATTAGGTTTACTTGACTCTAGATACAATTAAAGAATGTAATATAATGCAATATTTCGGAAGATAATCGAGGTCTGTCGTAAGAGTAAAAATGTCGGTAACTCGGCGATGCCCCTGGTTCAAGGTTGAACAGAGCAGACTACAGAGATATAATTGCAACAGATAAATGCTGTTAATAATCAGCTTGATTTATTGCGAAATTATTAATTTTTAAACTTCCGCTTCTACAGAAGCAATTTAACTGCCTTTTGTACCCTTTGCACCACCGGCCTGCACCACTGGTGGTGCAAAGGGTATTTTTTAATCCCTTTTGCACCACCAATAGTGCGGCCCTACCATTAACTGTAAAACGATTAACTATAATCATATAATATTAATATTATAAAAAGGAAAGATTTGATTGTTTGTTTGTACTGAATAGGCTCCGAAACTACTGGACAGTGACATACCTACATACAACGAATAATTCCTAAAGTACCAGGGCAACATAATCATAAAGGAGCTATATCAAATTCTTCTTGGTTGACCCGAGAAATAAACATGTATCATAAATATGACAAATATGACAAATAGCTCCTTTATAGTTATGTTGCCCTGGTACTTTATTCGTAGTATGTAGGATGTAGGCCCGGGGTATCGTGGGTCTGAAGTGAAATGTTTATAGGCACTTACACACACACAAATTAAAACTTTTAGGTAGGTTTTGATTTATTTATAACAATTAAATTATTAAATATTTTACAGTCTTACTACTAGTTTTACATTCGATGGTAGCACAGCACTATTTGTTGGTGGTGCAAGAGGGATTTAAAAATACCCTTTGCACCACCAGTGGTGCAGGCCGGTGGTGCAAAGGGTACAAAAGGATTTAACTGTTGTCTGCATTTTCAATATTACTAAACAAAAAAAAAATTTCCTGCTTGAAAAATGAATAAAAATTAACGCAACGTTAAAATTTATCTTGAAACCAATTATCTATTACTCAATTTATCGTCTAATAATTCACATTAACGTTGATTACAGCATCGACGTATGGTAATTGCTTAAAATTGTAGCCGCCATTTTGAAAATGTATCAACAATGAAAGATTAATAAAACCTCTCTATCAAATAAATTAATAAAATGGAATATCCTCGAAACAGTTCTTTGTTTGCTTCACCGATATTGCAGTCTTAGCTAATTCGTTGATATTACATAATTTTCACCAACAAGGAAACGGCACACACACATAATCTACTTACATAACCATCACTAGCTGAGTAGATATAGAGGTATAGTACGTTTGTATGTACTATACGTACATTATATGCACACACCTATATGGCAAGGTAAAAATCGATAGGAACTCGACGCACAATCCGAATATTGAATTCTAAGGATACAAATTCAATATCTGGCTGATTTTTAAAAGAAATTCCAGTGGAGTACTTACATTTTTCAGATTCCAGACGTAGCAGCTCCTTCGTAGCGTCTGTCGATGGCGTAGCGCCCCGCGCGCCTTCGGGCTACGGCGCTACGGCTGCGCGTAGCCGCCCGCCTCATTGGCCCGCACCGCTACGGTAACAGATGCGAACCGACCAATCCCGGACAACCTGTAAAGAGGCGTGGTGTTTAGTTTTCAGAAAAAAATTCAGCGGGTCCAAAGTACGGGTAACATGCACCCACAAAAGCCTCGGCTTGAATTCGCACGGAAAGCAGCCATGATATGTGGTATGCCACAAACGAATGCTGAGTCTAGCTTAATGGATTTAAATGTGCTACTCTCATGTTTAGGCTTCACTTGTTCACTTTAATTAAACTTTACATAGCTCCACCATTTGGTGAATGAATTCGTCTTTTATAAGTATTCGTTATTATGATTATGAAAATCCATGAAAAGTACCAATCAAAATAACCCATAATTTAGTCACCGTCTATTCAAAACATCAATTTTCTATATCATTGACATGTTTTTGATCATTCAAGCCCCTCATAAAGGTTTTTCGTTCGATATCCACCCAATTCAATATCAACATAAAGCTATGTTACTTTATAAAAATTTCATTGAAATTTTCATTAGCTTGATTATTTTTCTTTATTCTTCGTCGTTTAAAAATTAAAACAGTAAATCAATTTGAACCCAAAGTACAAAAAAGTGTGTAAAATCCAAAACGATTTCTATTTTCCTTAATAACCTAAAGAACCACTGTCTTATCTACTGTAACTTTGAAATCGCAGATTGCAATACAATTTCTGATACGTCTCATTTTAAATTAACAAACACATAAATCAGCCAATACCCGTAAAATCGGATTAAACCTACAAATTCTAAAACAAAAAACTGCTGACATAATCATCCTCTATTAAAAATAGGACTAGCTCCCCTCGGAAATGAGACAAACGCGAGATCAGCGAGTCCATCGGAACTCGTTTGCGTCTGTAATGTAACCGTATCGACGTAATATTGGGCCGACTTCATTTCACGGCCAGAGGAGCCCGCAAATGAAGTTGCCTCGGTCCACCGCGCGCGGTCTAACGATCCTGTATAAGCTCAAGATGGATGTGGCAACGGTTATACTTATTAGATTCACAGATATTTCTTTCAATAGATTGAAGAAAGAAAGACGTAGGTTTCTATGAAAAAGATAAATCCAGAAATTTTCACAGCTTTCCATTTTAAACAAAAAGGCTTCATTTATGATTCTAATCCAGTAAACACCTTAACCGGTCTGAATAATACGGGTTCAGTGTTCTTTTCACAAAAGAAAATTTAACGCAGGAGTCGCATTGGCATTGAATTGATTACCTATTTGAAACACATTTTTATTAAGAATATATATTTGTCTATCCAAATAACTATGAAAATTCACACCATATTTGTTTGTATTGGAAAATATCTAAAATATCTGTGCCGGAAACAAGACTACGTGTGCGTACGTTGTACGTAGTCTTGTTTCCGGCACAGATATTTTAGATATTTTCCAATACAAACAAAATAAGTTATGATGACATAATAAACTGGACCGCAAAGAAAAGGTTAGAAAATAAAATGGTTGGATATAAATTGTTTATTTATGTAGGTATATTAAAAAGTAACTTACTAGTTTTATAAAACCAAACATACTAGAAAAAGTACGCATTTTTGTTTATTAAAAATAAAAAGCTTCAATCAGCTTTTCATGAAGCTAGGTCAGGTGTTTTTCGAGATATTGAGGATTTTCTAAACGACTGCGGTCTGATGTATTTCCCCAACCTAAAGCGATCTTCAAAAACGACGTACCATATCTGATTTTCGTGGCTCCAACAAATATGATTCATATCGCTACGCCGAGTAGGCGGCGTTTGAATCAGAATATCTGCCCATCCGACCGATTTAACTTTTTTATGCTCACTTTTTCATGAAGCCTTTGATATATTGCCGTTTTGGATTTGATCATTTTTTAGATTGATCGCATTGGATTTTACTTGTTTGTATCCAAATGTTTTTAAACCGTTCTCTGTGATTAATTAAAACCTACCTTACATTTTGCTTTAAAAATCCTACTCTTAGGCTGGGTTGCACCATCTTACTTTAACTTTGAAAAACGTCAAAAATCTGTCAAAATCCANTATGTTCAGCAGTGGACGTCCTGTGGCTGAAATGATGATTTAGCTATAAATCAGAAAAGGACATATTTATAATATGGCTATTGGCTACATATTCGAGATATTTAAGGAAATGTAACTATACTTTATCCTACCAAGGCTCAAAACTTATAACAATCATCGATTTTCATTGCGCCAGAGATTTAATATAAAAGAGTTGATGATTATTATTAATCAATTTCTTTTGCTGAATTGATTATTCAATTAAATTATAATTATAAATCTTGAAGTTCAGTCTGAACAATCCCTCTAGCCAGATACAAAATAAAGACAAAACTTGCCACTGTGGTTTAAACAGGAGCCCTAACTAAAACTATCATGCCGTACCTAAAGTACGGCGTAGATGACATGAGTTTTAGTTAACAAAGCCACAATAATTGTTTAATTAAATAGAGTTAGTTTTAATATAGTTTCATTTAAAGGTCAAATAGAAATGTCAATAACGATTTATAATAATTGATCTTGTTCAAGCAAAACTGAAGGTCATAATATAATTTGTTCATAGTCTCATCGTACTAGAACGAGAATACATTAAAATTTTTAATGGTGCTTTTAAAATCTGTCCCACCACATATAAATACGTTCGCACTAAACTGCCTGACAAACCGGGGCCCTCCCGTGGTGATGGATGCGCTCCTCTAAGAGCCGTGACGGAGGGGCTGGCGCAATCCAGTTAAATAGTTCAAAAACCGCTGACTCGATTATTACAAACCGTATCATAATTGCTCAGCAAATTTAAAATCGCTGAAACTGGAATGCAAACTAATTCAAATTAGTTTTGGGGGTTTCAACTGCTAAGCAATGTTGTGTGAATGAGTAAGGAACTATTCAAGTGAAGATAAAGGGTAGAGTCACTATAAAGTAAGGTGCACCTTTAATGGTCATCAGCAATCATCATATTTTACGTTAAGCCTGATGGATGCAGATTGGCTAAGATTTTTAAAACCAACAAAAGACTCAGGTAGGTACTCAATAAAACTTGAAGATTAATCGAATGACAAAATATTAGTTAATAGTACGTAGTGTAGGGATTTATTTACAAGATTTTCGAAGAAAGGTTTGAACAGAATCTTTCTCAAAATCGTCTACATAGACAGACTTAAAATTTTGGTAGAAGGACGCTAGATTAAGTATTCAAAGGGCTGTATTGCTGATTCGAGAGTTAGGTTAGCATTAGACATTATAAAAATCAATTATATGTCCCATTTTTATTGTCTAAAAACCATTTTATAGTTATAGCGAACCTGAGTCATGAAATTAGGCAACTTATTTTTCAACATTACTTTCGTTACGAATGAATTCTTCAAAAAACATTGTTTGTAGAAACATATCCAAACCACTTATTCTTTAAATAAAATACATATCGTGATAAAAATTAGAATATTTAGACCCATTTAAATACTTTACAAGTAAACTACCTGTCAAATGTCATACATACTGGTGGCATACAATTGTAAGATTTTCGCGTTATACTCGTATTAAAACTGATAGTACCTATTAGTTTGACGTTTTGGCTGTGTTACTACAACCGTGTCACAAGTTTTTTAGTCCCATTTCTCTCAGTTACCAGTATTAAAATCACTGCCCATTATTCTTAAGTTCTTTTACCGTAATGCACATCTGCAAACGAGGAGCGATCGGCACTTAGCCGCGATCGCCCACTCGATAGAGCGCACTCAGCGCCTATCGCTACTTCAGCGGAACGCGTGCTCAAAAACAAAATACCTTTTAAAAGCCGTTTTAGGGGTCGATGCCTACTTATAATGGGAGTAGAAATCTTAGCATGGGCCTTTTTAAATACATAGTTTCGCTTGATGAACCCTAAAGGCTATAAGGGAACGGAAAACAATGAGATATTCCAAAACGATGAATCAAATTCAATTGTTTATTGCATTAAACAAGAAAATTAATAGTGGTAGGTATACATCACATAATTTTCCGGAAATCCACCCCGAAGGGGGTAAAACGGGATTCACGGGTACGAAGTATTTAATATTTTTTAATAATTCAATGGAACACAAGCAAACAAAATACTTTAAAAAGGCCTATCTAGTACCCATAGTTATAAGCTTTGCTTAGTTTGGGCCTAGATAGTGCCATGTAATGTAAACTGTATGGATTTATTTATTTTACTAGCGGCCGCCCGCGACTTCGTACGCGTGGATCCCGTTTTACCCCCTTCATCATCTTACGCGGTTTAGATTTTTTCATTCAAATGTTTTTTCCCGCTAACTCCCGTTCCCGTGGGAATTTTGCAATATCCTGTTGTAACTAAGCTTTAAGTTAACTAAGGTACAGTCGCGGAATGAAAAGGTTCGTCACCTTAGTGTCGGTTTTCGCCTGCACTAGGTACTGTAAGAGTCAAACCTGCCAACATAAACGAGCAAGAAACAGTGCTGCTAACATTTAAATAAATATGACGTTTGCTAACGATTACGGTTTTGCTTGATTTTCTATTCCATCAGTGCAATGCAATGATGACATTGACCATTTGACAATAGTTTTTTTTTTTATTTAATAGAAATAATAAATGGCAGGTTGAACCAACAAGAAGGTTTTAGTTTATCAATCATAATAGACTTCTTGACAAGATAAATCGTCAAACAACTTTGATCTGAACAATTTTGAACTTTACTGACGAACAGTTAAAGATCATTTTCTCTAACTCGAGATTATTCTGTAACATAGTTTCAAAAGGTAATATGTGCTCGCGATTGTTGAAGGAATCAATTTGAAAACTGACGAACCTTTTCATTCCGTGACTGTACCTGCATGCCAAATTTCAAGCGTCTAACTTAAGTGGTTTAGATTTTTCATACAAAAGGATTTTCCCGCTAATTTCCGTTCCCGTGGGAATTTCGGGAATTCCTTATTGTAACTAAGCTTTAAGTTTATTAAGATACCTACATGCCAAATTTCAAGCGTCTAACTTAAGCGGTTTAGATTTTTCATACAAAAGGATTTTCCA